ATGATTATAGAAATACTAGACCAGTTCAGAATCTAAGTTGATTAAATAAAGTAATAATGAACGACAGCCCAAATAAGCAGCAGCATTGACTAAGGCTAGAACTTTACAACGTAAAACAGCAAGCCATTCTTACAGTAATACACAAGAGCATCTCAGGCAATAGTAAGAAAAGGACTACCAATTTTCATTGATTTTTTTAAGGTACACGCTGACTGGACTGTAGTTTATCTTTCATTGCATGGTACTTATTCTGGGTTTCACTTTTACTGTTGAGAGGGCATTGGTAAATAGAATGAGTATCTGCCTTATGCAGTAGAGCCAGTGATTTGTCTCACATACCTCATTATCTGGTTCAGCCTCTTTCTACTTAAGGGGTTTTCCAGACAGACTGCACAATTTTATAATTTTTTTACTTTTTGTGATTTTTCAATTACTTATTCTTCACATAATGCACTGATCAAAACCACTTTCTTTTTAGCACTTGGCATTTTTATGTGATAGAGATTTGTAAGTTACAATTCGTAGATTTTTTTTTTCTTCTTCTAAGATCATGAATGTGCAAGCACTCATATCAGGAAAAATGGTCATGCAAATGGAAAAAAAAAATCTGCATTTTCATTCATGCTGCTTTGAAACTAATTTCCTGCGTGAACTCCTCATTGTGAAGGCCAGATGAAAAAACATGTTTTTCCTTTTCATTCACTCATATAAATATGTATGGATGGCTTATAGAATTGAAAAAAAATATTGAGTTGTCTGCAACATAGTTTACTCATGTGCTTACAAATTGCATCCTTTTATTTCATTGTGTGTTGTAGCTTTATTCCTGTAACATGCAGTGTTGTCCAACACAGAACTGGCTCATGGAGAGGCTTCTTTTTTCCCCTTTTAGCACTTAGGGCATTGGTGATGCAAGGCAAAGCTGGGACACTGCACTTCTCTGCTTTGAGGAAGCTCTTCTATACTCACCTTGTATTATGTTAATAGACTATTATTAATAAACTATGTTGTTTGCTCCTGTTTTCTTTTCATCTCAAATCCTGAATAAATATCTGTGCTCCTTTCTGTCTCTCCACAAGTATTTTTTTTCTCTAATACTGTATGGAGGGCAGTAGTCAGTACTTGATTTAATGAACATGGATTAATAACACTGAAATTAAAAATCATGTAGTAGTTTTATTTGTAAGCTTGGCATTTATCTCAAAACTACTTTTTACAATTTGTAAGTTCAAATGAGAATGAAACATCAGATCTGAGAGTCCAGTGGATTTTTCTGTTTGGAATACTGACTCACTACAGCGCTTGCTCCTCCATTTTTTCTTGTCTAAATGCAAATTCTAGTACAAACAAATAATACATATAGAAAAGGAAAATCTCTGGGTTTTTTAAGTAGAGATTTTAATAATTTGGGGTGGGACATATGGAATATTGGGCTAGATTTTCAAATGTAGTCTCTTATTATTTAAGATAACTATCAATAGGGATTTTTAAAGCTGCCTACATTTCTATTTGTACTGAAATTAATGCATTTTTGAGTGACAGTCTTTGAAACTTCATCTCCAAATAGCTGCATTTAAGGTTCTTTATTTATCGTGTGGTACTGCCTATCATTGTTTCAAGTTTTCAACATCCAGCTAAGGACATAATCATATTGTTGTATCGGTGAATATTATCTAGGGAGGCCAGTTTATCTCATTTTCCTTATTTAGGCTTTCTTGCAGGGAACTGTAAATTGTTTTATGGGGCTATCTAGAGCCCATGGAGAATGAAGGTTAGAGTTTGCCTCAATGTTCCCATCCTGCTGAGAAGGGAAATTCTTGTCATACTGTTACTTAGTGATCCAAAGATGTACTAAAGGGCAGAGGGGAAGACATTTGATCTCCTGACATCATGGTTGGGGATAAACATTGCCTCTGTGAATTGCTTCATCTCCACAAAGGCAGACTAGAAGTGCTGGTTTGAGAAGTTCAAAGCTCCACATGCTAATGACCAGCTGCAGGGTGAGCACAGAGGGGTTTAGAAATGGTCATTCTTCCAACTCTCCAGGGCAGGAGAAAGCTCTGGAAAAGGAAAGCAGTATTTTTGCTTTGCTCCACATCTAAGCCTTTGGACTCACTGAGCAGGGTAGGTTCACAGCATAGGTGGGTCAGCAGGCTTCAAAAATAGCCTGTTGCCCACTCCTCTGCAAGGATCCAAGTCCTGGCTGGCCTGCTGTCAGGAACTGCTGTGCTGCATAAACCCCTCCTTCCCACCACACTGCAGTGGGCAGCACTTACACATGAGATGTCTGGGGAGGTTGGCACTTGTGGGCAGGGGAGAGCGGTGCTTTCCCTGTGCTTAAATGCAAGTATATAACCAGCTTTCCTGGAACTCAGGCTGTCCTGAACTGAATTTGTCCAGAAAGCAAACGAAATGCTTTATTTGGTATCTAGAGAGATAACACAAGAGAAAACATGAGTGAGTGTATCAGCCTTAGCTGAGGTCTACTATTTACTAAATAGCTAATAGCTAAGAAAAAGATGGTTTTGTTGTGAAGATGGTGTGTTGGGATCAGATTTGGATTTAGTATTACATTTAAATGTAATGGTAATGCTTAGAAATGTATCCTTTAGAAACAGGACATTCTGTGCCAATCCCTTTCATGAACCCAGCTGCAGTATCTTCAAGTTTATGGCCTAAATCTTATTTTGCAGCCTCCATCACTTGTGTCTGTTTACCAGAGACAGCAGTGTAGGTATATGCCCAAAATGGCTACTGGACTGAAATCCTGTTCTCTGCCTTCCAGAGTAAAGCACTGGAAATATTTCCTTCTCTGTCCTTTGGAGCTCCCTCGCTGTGCTTATCATCGGATATTGTTAGTCTCTTGCTAAAAATTATAAGACAAAAGTAATTCAAAAAACTTCAGGCTTTTACTTGTTAGATCAAAGGATGGTTAGCAAGACAGTGAAGATAAGTCTTTAACTTTGGAATTAACAATGTCAGAAAGTTTCATCCTTTGTTGATTAATCATTACTTTGGACCAAGTAAATGATCCTTCTTCTGAGTGAATGAATGTGCCCAGATTTAAAATGATTTAGAGAACAGTCTGGCCGTTTAATATAGGTTGTTTTTTAAGTACTGAATTTAATTATAACATGGATTATTATCTTCAAAACAAAAGAACACAGCCTAGTTTTAAAGACAGGCTGAGCTACAAATATAGCATAGATGCTGGGTTGGCAAATCACACCTATTTAAAGACTGTGGAGTGGGGACTCTGGTTCCCTGCTTAGTCTGAGGCCGCCATGCCTGTGGAAATAGGACCCAATGTACTGTCTTTTATGTGTCATTTTCCCTGGCATCCTGTGCACTCACTCCTTTGATTGTCTTACTTCCAGTGCTCCTTTATACTCAGCAAAGGGACTGCAGTCCTGTGATTAGTAAATGATAGACAGAAATGAGAAGTTGGGCAGTGACAAGCTGTTTCTCTGGGCTTTTAATCACTTCTCTACTAATTTAATGTATATTCTGTACAAAACTTGAACTCCTCCTCTGCATAATGAGAAAAGAAGCATGTGTTTATTGAGTGCCTCAGGTGCTCATTGTGTTGTGAATGTAATGCTATTCATAACAGATTGCTGTGCTGGGGAGGGTGGCTGTGGGTTTGTGAGCTACAGTCTACACAGACATGACTAAATCCGTCTCATCTTTCTCCTCTGAGAATCTCCTTGGTGCTTCAGTTGCTATTCATGCACATGAAGGATTTGGTGAAGAGGAGAGTTGCTTCACAGACCAGAAGCCTAGGGAGGATTTTCCCCTTCAAAGAGAGATTAGTGGCAGTCCACACGTCATTGGGAATCATCTAGTCTTTTGGGGGGTTATGAAGTTTGTCAGGATATTTTTGAAGTAACTTTAGGGGCATCCAGTTCTTTCCAGTAAGGGTCCTTAGGGGATTTTTTTTTTTATCCTTTTAAAGAAAGCACTTTAATTTTGGGAAAAAGAAAGGGTGGGAGGTCCAAATGCCAGGGAGGTAAACCACAGTCACCACATGAAGCGAGTGGAGCTTAGCTCTTAACAGTGACCAGCAGCCAACCTGAAAATGTCTTAGTGCCCACCTACAGTTTGGCATGTGAAGTTTGAAGATGCCTCTATGTATTTCACAAAAGCAGTTGTGATATTTATTTAACTTCAAGGCTTGGCCTGGCCAGAAAAGAGAGTTACGGTGTGTGTTACTTTCACGGATGCAAATATTGACCTCAAAGTGTGCAATGCTTTTAGGAAAATGATAAAACCTCTTTTTACTTTGAAAACAACTAGCATTGCATGAATTATGTGACATTCACAGTTTATGCCATGCATGTTATGTAGAGACTTCTAAGGAATTAATTTGTTTATGTTACGAAGTAGGAAGAGTTTTTAAATTCAGCTTGGATATAGTTTTACTCTAAAATGTATGGCCAATCTACTCATCATGCTGTGTTACACAATTGTGCAAGATGTGATTTGAAGGTAACCTGCAGATGATTCCTTGTTTACAGAGTTAGGATGTAGCTCTAAGCATAGATGCTACAAAGTCTAAATAAAATATTTCTGCCTTCGTGCTACCACTGTTGATGATCAGCCTGGCAGAGCTGTACTATGAGGAAAAGTGCTTCCTACAATAGCTCAGCAACACATTAATATTCTGATGTCACTTTTAGCCTGAAAGTTAGGAGCTGATATGTTATTGGGAGGAGGAAAAGAAGTGAGGAAATATATCCTAACTAATTTAACACTTTCAGGTTTCTACTGTACCTTTGCAAATTCTGGTTTATTTGACTTTCCTCACTGCATGAATCGTCTGAAATACCAAACTCTGCTATGTCTGCTTTCTCTTTTATGCCTTCACAGAGTTCTCAATTCTTTCTCTCTTGTCTCTCTTTCTCTTTGTTTCTCTCTCCTCTCTGTTTTTCTCTTTGGTGGGGTACCCTGAATCTCTGAAGCAGTGCAGGAGGCCGAACAGGAAGATGTAAAGGTGGTAGTGGACGCCCAAGCTCCGAAACCAACTAAAAAAACCAAGGGAGCAGCTGCAAGCTGTCAGACTAGCAGCACCAGAAAGGAGAAAAAAGGGAAACACAAAGGTTAGCTGCATGCAGCTGAATGTCAGATGTTAAATTAATTCTTTTGCAGTCAATTCTCTCTCTTTTTTTCTTTTAATTTCTTTGAAAATCTGAAAATTGTCTAAAAGTAAGTTCATGAAATTTTTATGAGATGGGAAAATGTGTGTGACTTGGACTTTTCTGGGCATGTACAACCTGGGAGTGAGGGACTAAAATTTGTAAATGCAGTCTTTTCCAAAGGACAGTGTTTGTTCAAATTGCAGAGGAGGAAGAAAGTACTGATGGAAGGATCCTGGTGTTTTCCTTGTTAAAGGAGTTGTTAAAGAAATGAGAACCATCTTACAACAGTGTGGTTTTTTAGATTATCTACAAGTAATGTAATTCAGAGGAACAGCCTTAAATTGCAGCCACTTCTGTCCATACTCTTGTAAATTAGAATTTAAGTGGACATTTTGAAAATCAGTTCAGCAAAATTGAGATAACAGCCTCAAGGGGGTTTTTCAAGTTGTTACTTGAGTGTTACTCTATCCCTCCTGAGGTGTTTTTGTGCAATGATTTTGTGTATGATTAGGTAAAATAAAAAATACACTATTGGTAGTTACAAAAGGCTACTGGTATTCAAATTTTATGTATATATATGCACACTCACAAAGAGAGACAGGTTGTTATGCCACATTCAGTTACTTTTTATTTGGTGGTGACTGACTAATGAAATAAAATAACTTTCCAATAATTTGCAGTTCTTGAATAAAGCCACTGTAACAGTATCCTGCCCTGTATTCCGGTGTTGTGCATGTCCAACAGTGTCTCCATTGTTGCTTAGTGTATATCCTTGACAAGTCTGTTTAAAGATAGCAGTGACTAATAAGGTTAATTATTGAGGTCAGAGTATTGGGGCTTATCTATAGGGATTTTGCAGGACTTGAGCCTACCTTAGTAAAATCCTTTACGTATTGCAGCTTGATTCTTGAGATCTGAATCTACAGTATCTCTCTGTCTGTAGTCCCTCTGGCTGCAAGGAAAGCCCTAGGTTAGACAGGCTTTAGAATCTGGCCCTGAGCTAAAGACTTTATTCATATATTTGAAAAAAGATGGTGTGTGCCAGTACCTGGGCTTAAAATAATAAGGAAAAGTCAAAGGTAAAATTAGCTGAATGTAAAAACTGTTGGCAAAATAAATGGAACAGAGAGCTAATGTTTCCCAATTTAATGTAGAAGGTAATGACATTCCAGCATAGTAATACAAATGCCAGATTTTATTTTGAAGTACATCTTGCTCAAGAGTAAAAATTCTTTTACTATTTTAGCAGAAAACCTGGTTTAGGCTGTAAAGGAGCATTATGCAAGCTAATACTTAAATCATGGTTATGGCATAGCCTTGAGGCTCTGTTTCATCTCATATAATGTCTATTTTGCCCTTATGGAGTATCTGTGTCTGTGCTATGTTCATAACTGAAGGTACTGTGCTGGTAGTTACAGTAGGTTTGATGTGACGAATGTGCCTTGTATAGGACCACTGTCTGTATACAGACATATGTGTTCTGGGCAGTTTTCTTATGAGCTCTTGGCTAAAATATTCCAAGGCTTAGTGAGGCACATAGCAAGGAACACTCACTGGGTTGTTCTGCAGAGCCCAGTGATGTGTGTCTGGGGCTGTGTTTGCTGGGCAGCTCCACCAGATGTAGGTGAGTTAGCCCACGAGCAGAGTGTGTTTGCTGTGAAGGAGCTGCACAGTTTTCCATTATCTCACAGCAGGTAACACTTGGTATTTTTCTCACATGCCAGTAATATTTTTATTCATTTTCTGAAAGATCCTACAACCAGGCAAATCTTGGCATATATTAATAAAAGCAAGTCATGTCAGTAAAAGTAATGTCACTTTATGTAGGCTGAGAACTTTTGCTTGCTGATACTGCTCCATGTGTTGAAAACTAATATTGTTAGCTCTAGAAATCTAGAAATGCAGCTTCTGCTGCAATTCTTATTGCTCATCTCATTATGCTATATGTGCTCTTCCCTGGCCTCCAGCATTTGCCCATCAGTTACATCTTATGTACGCTTCCTGAGAGTGGAGGCGTTATTCATTAATTATACTAAAGGAAGTGTTGAGTATCTCCTCTCCTGAAGTTTATGTTGATGATTAGTAACACATGAAAGTCAGTTAAATTACCTTCAGAGCATGCACATAACACCTTCTCATCCAGCTCATATACTTTTTCCCTACACTGCTGTTTTACTGTTCACTCATGAATAATGTCACCCTTGGAATAATATCTTGTTTACCTCTGACAGTGTTGTAAACTTGGAGTGTTTGCAGGGGATTATAACTGGATTTCCAGTCTTCCATTCTTATCAAAGCTCCAAAATATTTTTTATTGGATGAAAAAGTAAAACCAAATGCGTCTTAAAAATTCCAGTTGGATTTTACTGATAAGTCCACTGCAGACATAGCTGGTTTCGTACTTGGGATTGAAGAAAATGCAAGTGGTAGCAGAGGAACTTGTATCAAATTTTTGAGTTACTTCTAAATGTGAATTTTAAGAATAGATTTTATAATAGTATTGAATGAATTTGCTGATAACTTCAGCTCTAACTAATGAAAATGGATGAAGGCTAAGTGGATTTATGCCATTTTTTGGCACAAGAGATTTTGTTGGAGGGAGTTCATTGGTAATTAGACCAAATCTTGGGGAAATTTTAGGTTCTGCTTATAGCTTTGCAATTGCTTCAGGTTTGTCTCCACTCTAACTGTAACCTTTGTATGTCCTGTAAACAAGCAGGACAAATGCTGAGGGGTGAATTCACTTTACATGCTAAAATAGCATTTTAAAGGTTTCTGTTAATATTTAGCTGTAGTGAATATTGCCCTTCTAAGCATAGCCAAGTTCTTTGTGTTTTAAGGAAAAAGAACATTCAGACCAGATCCTAAGAATAAGAAGCTAATTCAGAGAAAAAGTTGTTGAATTATACATGAATAGATGTTGAAGCTGTAGAGTAATGACTGTACTCTGATCTTAGATGTGTAATGCTTTTTAAGTGGCTTGAAGAATGATGAAACTATGATCAGAACAATGTGCTAAAGACAAATGTGAGAGAAATATCAAGTTTAGTGAGATTACACTGACATAAGGCAAGAAAATGTGGCTAACTTCTCATGGCAGTGCATTTTGTAATTCTGTGATGGGTAGCATGGTATTCAGCAATTTTTTCTAAATCTGATTATTACTGGTATTTCTTAATGGCAGTATGCAGTATACACTGTGCCTGTTTTTAAAAAAGAACCATAATTTTTGTCAGGCAGAGCCTGCAAATGCAGTAAATTGATGACATTTTGTAGTAGCTTAGCGCATTAAATTGATATTTTTGAAAGCTTTGGTCTCCCTTTTATGGTTTGACATAATATTCAGTATAGGGAAAAACCTCAAAATGTAACAAACAGATACGTAAAATGGTTGTCTTTGCAATGCAGATAGCAGACCAAATTCTGGTTTGATTTGTAACACTAGTAAGGGGTGATTCAGGATATTAGTGAACCCAGTGTACAGTTTCACTTGGTGGTTCAACAGAAAAGTAATGCACACTAGTGAAAGTATTTGCAACAGGAACCTATGGAAATTATGCACCCTACATAGTATTACAAATACCAAAACAGAGCATCTTTAGCTATCAAAACACCTTGATGATTCCTTAAAAATGGAGATTCCTGAAAGTATTACAAGTACACAGTGGTGTGGGTTTTGTTGTTTGGTGCATTTTTTCTGCCAGTGTAGATTTGTGAAGAAGTTCATAAATATACAGGATAAAGTGGTTTTTTTGGCTATGAATGGAGTAAATCAGGAAGATAAAATGGAACTCTCAAAAAACCCCAGAAAACCCTGCAAAGCCAGGAGTTAATACAAAGTGAAATCTGGTATGAAAATTCAGGAATCATTCTGTGAAAAGTTGTTGTTGGTTGTTAGATTTTGGGTTTTTTTAAATAGCACTCTGGCACTCAGAGCATGTAAGTACATTCTAGGAAAACCCTGCTCTGAACTGCCATGGAAAATATAAATGAAGATTTTTTTTTTTTTGTCAGTGAAATCAGGGATCCGGATGCATTTAAAACATTGAAATAAACAATACCTTCCCAGAAAATTTTCTTTTATGTTGTACATTAAATGTATATAGTACACTGGTATTTCCTGCTGACTTTATGAGAGTCGGGAAGCAGGCGAGCTGCTCTTACACTCAGCTCTTTTCCTGCCAGGATGGCTATTTCATGTTTTGATTTGGTTTGTTTCTTCCGTGTTTCTTCTCTCTCTTTCACGCCTGTCTGACTGTTTTGATTTGTGCATCCTGCCCCATTTTTATATGTAACAAGCAGCTACATTAACACTGGCTGGCTAAGAAAGCAGCAGTTTTTGTTGAATAAGAGGCATCATTTCTCACTGTAACACTTCCTTTCTGATGGGGGTAGGGAAGCTCATGTAGAGCAGATTTGTCTTGCCTTCCCTGTAAAGAGAAAGGGTAGGAGGAACGATGAATGAGTTTCCACCTAGAAAAGTCCTGTTATTTCTAGATCTGACAAACCTTTCAGGTTGTGCTTTTGTGACACATGAACTTGATTGTGAAGAAATAATTTTGGCCTCCTCAGGATAAAGATTATTGAATGTACAGTTCCTGCTGTTGTTTTCTAGATTTCATCAAAGTGAATGTAGAGCTTGAATGCTGAAGCACTTTCTTTTAGCGACCTGGTCTGTTAGCAATAGTCCTTCTTTTGACAGAAGCTCTCTAGAGGTCCTTTTGGAAAAAAATTCTATATGCCCCCTTTCCTTGTAAACAAATCCCTTTGTGATTTTGCAGTTGCTTGAACCCCTATCAGTGGATGCACGGCCCCTATGAGAACAGGAATATACTGAGAAATGGCTTAAAAAATATTGACAGCAGGACTTGCTTTAAGCCAAGTTCTTTAAAGGACAGAAACTATTTGTTCTGATGTTAGATCTCTCTGAGATTCCCTGTCCTTGACCTCAGAGCAGGCCA